CTTTGTGTTAAATAGAGAATAAACGGGAGACCGCGTGTGAGCCAGTGAACGAGGCTTTGTGTACATGCGTGTATTAGGAAAAAAAAAAAAAAATAGTGAACGGTGATTCGTGGAACAGTGATGTGGAACGGATATCACAACAACATATAAGTTGGAAGTGAATATTATAAATATAGAATACTAGAAATATAGAATAGTGGCAAGAGGCGGCATCAGTGGTTATAAATCGGGTAACTGGAAACTGGTGACATCAACCTGGGCCACAGGAGGTCACCTGTACCGACCGGGGACCAGCCTCGCTACCTACGCTAAGTACCTGCCATAAAGTTTGAACAAAATAACAAACATAATATTACAAATATACGGTATACATATAATATTATAAATATTAAACATATAAATATATATACATATATATTGTTACAAATATACAATATACATATAATATTATAAATATATAGATATATACAACAAAACAAGGCAAAATGGGAGTAAATAAACAAATTTGTGGCCACTGTAACAACTCCTTAAAGACGAAGGTAACGGGAATTGAATGTTATATCTGTAAGACTAGATTCCATTCGGCTTGTACAGGAGTGAGTAACACTACGGCACTGAGAGCTGGTCACTTGCTCTGGGTGTGTAAAAATGACCTGCCAGCTTGGAATATCCTAAAAAACCTTCTAGATAACATGACGCATGATCGGAAAACATCATTCATTGGAAGCCTACCAGCCATCCAGAAGGAGTGGGAAAGGAACAACAATTCTAATATACAAGGGGCGGAGGCTATAGTCAGGGATGAAACTGATGCTGAAACTCAGATAGTTGTAAACTCTGACTCAGTAGGCCTGGATGTAGATGACAGTAAACTAGAAAGTGTACCAGACAGCACTGACAGCTCGATAGGTACAGACACTACAACGGTTCCCGATAGAGCAATTCAGAACAGGACAGACTTATGCAAATTTTATGCAAAGGGCATATGCAGACATAGATATGATGGTAATAAGAAAGGATTAGAATGCAGTTACCAACATCCCAAGAAATGTTTAAATATGCTTAGGAAAGGTTAGTGTCGATTTGGATCAATATGTAGGTTTTTCCATCCTGACATGTGCCAAACCTCACTGGAGGACAGAAAATGCTACGACCTCAGCTGCCCACACTTTCACGTGAAAGGCACGGAACGCTACATAAAGAGTGGCAAGCAGGATAATGAATTTGGAGGAAACTCTATAAATTTTTTATACCAGACCGGCAGAGAATTCAAAAGGAGCAGCATGGAGTGTATGGAACTGGATGCCAGATCCACTTGCATTCCAGAATTACAGATACAATTACCCACCGAAAGGGAACTACAACTACGACAGACAACTGCCCTACAACAATCAGTACTGGTCAGAACAAACTCATTATGTCCACGAATAATGGGCTTGCCGAAAAAGTCTCCCATTCAAACTATCACTAATAGAGTAACCTCATTCATCTTTGCCAACATACAAGGACTGAAAACAAGAACAAACAACAAAGTACAGTTCATAAATGGCCTCCTCACGGAGTCAAATGCAGTATTTGGAGCTTTCACAGAAACCCATGCAGGGGAATTGTTGGACAGTGAGATCTGGATTCCAGGATATAACCTATACAGGTGTGATAGGAAAATTAGGTCACATGGAGGAGTGGGTCTGTATATTAGGGAAGACCTTGTATGCTCGGAGCTCCTAAACGTTACAAATGAGGTGGTAGAGGTACTGGGATTAAAAATAGAGAAAATAAATTTAGTGATTATTCTAATATACAAACCGCCAGATGCAACGGCTGAGGAATTCACAGAACAGATAAGCAAAATAGAGAATAGCCTTGATAATTTGGAGAACCCGATACCTGATATTATCTTCCTAGGTGACTTCAACTTGCCTAGTCTCAGGTGAAAAATAGCAAACAATAATATTATACCAGGAAATCTATCAGGACCTAACCAACCACAGATCAGAGAACTACTTAGATTCTGTGACAAATTTTCACTCAATCAGCAGATATCGGAGCCAACGAGAAATTAAAATATTCTAGATCTGGTCTTTACGAACAATGAAGACATTATCAGAGACATTACGATATCAGATACCACATACTCAGATCACTAACTCATTGAAGTGCAAACGACCATCAATACTCAGAATAGACCTAAAAAGTTGATAAAGCGAGAGGGGCTATTCAGTAAATTCAATTTTAATAATAAAAGGATAGACTGGGAGATAATAAACAGGGAACTTACAAACATTCCATGGGGAACTGTTCTAAGTAATACAAGTCCTACAGAAGGAATAGAAAAACTGACTTCAGAAGCGTATCAAGTCTGTCTGAAACATGTTCCTTTGAGGAAAGCCAGAAAGAGATCTAACGTAGAAAGAGAACGCAGACGACACTATAAACGCAGGAAAAAAATAACGGAACTGCTTATGCAGACACGAATTTCCCGTCAAAGAAGGAATAATTTAAATAGGGAGATTGAAGAAATCGAGCGGAAATTGAAACACTCATATGAAACTGAAGAAAGGCAGTTAGAACAGAAAGCAATTCAGGAAATAAAGAAAAATCCAAAATATTTCTTCTCATATGCGAAATCAAAAGCAAAAACCACTGCCAGTATTGGACCTATTCGTACAAGTGAAGGTTCATACACGGAGGATGACAAAGAAATTAGTGAAATCCTAAAAAAGCAGTATGAGGACATGTTTAGCACTCCAATAAACAACATGAAGGTGGAAGATCCAGACAATTTCTTTATGCGGGATATTCAAACCCCTGTAAATATAACTTATATAAACACGAGCGCACTAAATTTTGAAAAAGAAATTGAAAACATGCCCATGCACTCGGCCCCAGGTCCAGACTCATGGAATTTAATATTTATAAAGAAATGCAAAGTGCTGGTAGCACAGGCACTCAGTATAGTGTGGAGGAAGAGCTTGGACACGGGGGAGATACCAGATGCACTTAAAGTAGCAGACATAGCCCCTCTACACAAGGGAGGGAGCAAAGCATTGGCAAAAAATTATAGACCAGTTGCACTAACATCGCACATCATAAAAGTATTTGAGAGAGTGATTAGGAGTCAGGTCACCAATTTCATGGAGACCAATGACCTTCACAACCCAGGCCAACATGGATTTCGAGCGGGAAGATCGTGCCTCTCACAGCTACTTGAGAACTACGACAAAGTCACTGAGGCATTAGAAGAAAAACAGAATGCTGATGTGATATACACGGACTTCGCAAAGGCTTTCGATAAATGTGACCATGGCGTGATAGCACACAAAATGAAGTCAATGGGAATAACCGGTAAAGTAGGACGCTGGATACTCAGTTTTCTGTCAAACAGGACTCAGCGAGTAACGGTCAACCATATAAAATCTAGTCCAAGTGCAGTTAAAAGCTCTGTACCTCAGGGTACAGTCCTTGCACCGCTGCTTTTCCTTATTCTCATATCAGATATAGACAAAAATACAAGTCACAGATTCGTATCATCCTTTGCAGATGACACAAAAATCAGTATGAAAACTACCTCGGCTGAGGACATTGAAAAACTTCAAGCTGATATTAATAAAGTTTTCGACTGGGCATCAGAAAATAACATGATGTTTAACAGTGATAAATTCCAGGTACTCAGGTACGGTAAAAATGAGGACCTTAAACATAATACAGAGTACAAAACACAATCAAATGTACCCATAGTAGGAAAACAGCATGTAAAGGATTTGGGAATAATAATGTCTGACGAAATAACGTTTAAGGAGCATAACCAAGCAAACATTGCGACAGCCAGAAAAATGATAGGTTGGATTACGAGAACTTTCAAATCCAGGGATCCCATCACAATGGTTATACTCTTCAAGTCACTTGTGTTGTCCCGTCTTGAGTACTGCTCAGTACTCACTTCCCCCTTCAGAGCAGGAGAGATTGCTGAAATAGAGGGAATACAGAGAACATATACGGCACGCATAGACGCAATAAAGCACCTAAATTATTGGGATCGTCTCAAAGCTCTCCAAATGTACTCATTAGAAAGAAGACGAGAGAGATACCAATAATATACACCTGGAAGATACTGGAGGGCCAAGTACCAAATCTACACAGTAAAATAACAACGTACTGGAGTGAACGATATGGAAGAAAATGTAGAATAGAACCAGTGAAGAGCAGAGGTGCCATAGGCACAATCAGAGAACACTGTATAAACATCAGAGGTCCGCGGTTGTTCAACGTCCTCCCAGCGACTATAAGAAATATTGCCGGAACAACCGTGGACATTTTCAAGAGGAAACTAGATTTATTCCTCCAAGGAGTGCCGGACCAACCGGGCTGTGGTGGGTATGTGGGCCTGCAGGCCGCTCCAAGCAACAGCCTGGTGGACCAAACTCTCACAAGTCAAGCCTGGCCTCGGGCCGGGCTTAGGGAGTAGAAGAACTCCCAGAACCCCATCAACCAGGTATATCTTGTCAAGCACAAGACGAAGCTGGAGAAGGTTCTAAAGTATGCCACTAGATTAGTCCCAGAACTAAGAGGTATGAGTTACTAGGAAAGGCTGCGTGAATTATGCCTCCTGTCCCTGGAAGACAGAATGTGCGTAGAGACATGATCACCTCGTACAAAATTCTCAAGAGATTTGACTGGGTAGATAAGGACAGATTATTTAACATAGGTGTTATTCACACAAGGAGGAACAGGTGAAAATTGAGTACTCATATGAGCAAAGAGATATTAGAAAGAACTTTTTAATGTTATAAAAGTTAATAAAAGGAATGCACTAAAAAGTGATAAGATGGAGGCAGACTCCAAACACAGTTTCATATATGACAGAGATCAATAAGCTCAGGAACCTGTACACCAGTAGATTGACAGTTGAGAGGCAGGACCAAAGAGCCTAAGCTCAAACCCCCACAAGCAAAACTAGGTGAATACAATTAGGTGAGTACAGTATATATAAAACACACACACACATGTAACTTGTTTTTATTTATGTGTCAATATACAGTACAAGCACCTTTCATTCCTACTAACAAATAAACGGATATCACACAGTCAAATCTTATGCCAAAACATAGTTAAAAGTCTTCAGAAAACTCATTAGCTCAAAAATCAATATGGATAATTATTTTAGAGAAATTTGTTTTTAATATTTACGGAAGAATACTTGATGAATGAACTGTCATAGAAAAAGAGTTAAAACTATTCAGCTAACTTGCAATCATGATGGCTTAATATAAAATTATATATGAAATGTAAAGAAAGCTATCTTCTCTGCTTGAAGTGTATACAGATTCTTATACGGTTGTGTAAGTACTCGGTAATTATAACAATATTTAAAAAAATTAAAATACATTCTATTATTTCTACTTGGCAAACAATACAGAATTGTTCATAAAAGGTATAATCATGGGGAAAAGCTGACAATACCAATCTGTTACAGAAATAAAGGCCTACAATTTCATGATATTTTGGTTAGCTTTCCTCCTGCTGACCACGTCCTTTAATGGTAACTTCAAAACACAGACAGTTGATGGTCGAACATTCAGGAGTAGTACAGGTACAAGAGCAGCTCTGACAATCACACAGCTGCCCAGCGGCACACATCGGAGGAGCGGCACACCAATTTCTACATGAATGGCAGGAATCCTGGCAAAGGTTGTTTCCAAACATGTTGCATCTTGAACATTTTGTGCACATCACACAAGAGTCAAAATGAGGGCAACTGCAACTCTGTAATATCATTTTGCAATTGAGGAAGGACAGCAGTAAATCAACATTTGAATGACTTTACTATTGGTAATGCATTCTCATGCTGAATCTAATCTAAAAAAAAATTATGAAAGCTTTACCTCACTAGGAAAGAACAGTATAACAATAACATAGCAAAACATATGAGGGAATGAGATCATAAATATTAGTTCAAATTAAACTAGAAATGTGAATCCTGTACGTATTTAAAATAATTTAAATTAAAGGCAACTGCAGCCCTGTAACAATTTCATAATTAATATAAGAGTTTTTAAATCAATATTATAGCATGTGATCTTATAGCTGCATTCAAATACTGTATCTAGTCTCAATCTTTTTCCTCTTACATATGCAATGATTGAAAATTTTCCTTAACTAGAAAAACATGAATATGTATATCAATAAATGGGAGGAACGGTATAATATGTTGTTATAAATAAACAGCAGTAGAAGTGTGCCAAGGACTCTTCTATATATATAAGAAGAGCTTCGGGTTCTGGCTCGGTTGGAGTGCTATCGGGGGAGGGTTCTTCTCCTGGCCCCTTGGGCCCATCCTTGGTTTCAGTCGTTGTTTGCTCGGTGTCCAAACCCGAGGGTTTTTCTGCGGCTCCACCTGTTTCAGCAGATTGGACCGGTGAGGTACCTTGCTGGTTCGACCTACTCTTCCGTTCTTCGTGTCTGGTATTTTTTACGCCCGTGTATCACCACTTGTATGGTGATCAGGTGGTGACCACAGGTGTCCCACCTGTGGTCTTCTTCTAGGCGACAGTATGAAGTCTCTTGGCATTCTTTTCGCCATTTCCTTTCTCTTCCTAGGTTGCCTTCTGTTTCGGTTCAAGTTGTTTTTGCCTCTCCTTTCTTGGCTCTTTCAGGACCGACATCTCATGGCGAATACTGTCGCCCCATATCGTGCAGTGCTGGTGGAGCCGCTCCAGCTTTTGTTTGTTTGTCCCACCTGTGTGGCTTTGGGGTGCCTGTTGCAGCCTTCTGTCATGTCTTCGTCCTAAGGGACGCAGTGTGGCCGCCTCCTGGGTAAATCCCTGTTTTACTTATCTATGGGTATCTAGCACTAGGGACCCAGCGAGCCTACCCACAGGAAACCAGCGTAATGAAACGCCATTTTCTGGGTGAATCCTGGAGACTACCGGGCACCCTCCGCCTGATGCCTGACAGCTGAGTGGACAGCACTTCGGATTTGTAGTCCTGAGGTTCCGGGTTCGATCCGTGGTGGAGGCGGAGACAAATGGGCAAAATGTTTCTTTCACCCTGATAACGCTGTTACCTAGCAGTAAATAGGTACGTGGGAAATAGACAGCTGCTACGGGCTGCTTCCTGAGGGGGGGAGGGGGTAACAAAAAGGAAGCCTGGTCGAGGACTGGACTGTGGGGACGCTAAGCCCTGAAATCATCTCAAGATAACCTAACCTAACCCTCCTCCCTCCCTCCGGTCGGCGGTTTTATTTTAGTTGCTCAGTCTCTGAACTGGTGGGCGAGCAACCGGCTCGACTGAAACCAAGGCTGGGCCAACCACCATAGGACCAGGAGAAGAACCCTCCTCCGATATGATTCCAGCTGAACCAGAACCCAAACCAACAGCTGGAATGGGGGAAAGAGGTACAGGTAACCTCATTGCAACCATTCCTGCCAGAAAGCATCTACCGCAGCTGCTTCACAGTTGGGGAAGGGCACCACATACACTGGGAGATGCTGCGACCACACCGATACAAAGAGGTCTACCTCTGGGGGCCCAAAGCAAACGGTTAGCATCAACCGTCCATTCTGTGGACAGAAGAATGATCCAAGATCGGCCATCTGCCAAGACGTGCCCCCCTGGACAGCTTGGATATGCCCTTGATATGAACCGCATGGAGAGCTAAACCCTGGAAACTCATCAGAAGAGCCACTTAAAGCAACTAGCCAAAAGAGCCAAGGACCAAAGAGACACCCCCCCTTCCCCCTCCCCACTGTTCAGGCAATGAACCACTGGGGCGCAGTCCGAATGAAGCCGGATCGTAGAGTTTTCAGTGAGCCAATTAGCAAGATTAGGAGCCACGACCTGGCAAAACATAAAAATGCAAGGTACCAGACTCAGCCCGAAGGGAACGCAATGAAAGCAGTAAGCTCGCCGCCCCACCACAAAACCTAACCAGTCTCTGAACCCCGGGTGAATAGGGACGTGCCAATACACGTCCCAGAGGTCCAGAGACACCATTCAAGAACCCGGCTCCAAGAGAAGCCGGACCTGGGACAGAGTGGTCATCCAAAAGGAGGGGCACAAGGAATCCAGAGGTTCAGATGGGACCTACCTTGAGGTGCTTCCGGGGCTTAGCGTCCCCGCGGCCCGGTCGTCGACCAGGCCTCCTGGTTGCCGGACTGATCAACCAGGCTGTTGGACGCGGCTGCTCGCAGCCTGACGTATGAGTCACAGCCTGGTTGATCAGGTATCCTTTGGAGGTGGGACAAGTCCAGAATGAACCAAAGATCCACACAGTCCCGTGTCAGAACTGGAAACAAGCAAGAAACCCACTGGAGGGATGAAGTCATTTCAACCATGCCCAAGTGCACCCACTCAAATGTGACCTGACAGAGCAAAGGGGAAGAAGCCTGCCCTACCAGCCCAGAACCTCTGAGAGGAGGAGCCACCCACCTCCATCACAGGACGGAGGACATGACCCGAAATGCCAACAAATTGAGGGACCAAGTGTGGGCAAAGAGAGCCAGCCTACATTGATGGGGCAGTGGGGAGAGGGTAACCAGTGAAAGAGCCAGTGCCCCTTCCGTGAAGCCGGCAGACTGGCAGAGCAGACACCGTGCAAACCAGACGAAGACGGCTCAGGAGGAGGCACTGGCTCAGAACCTGACACCTGGGGGCCCACCTCGACCTGCCAAAACCCGAGCCGTAGTACGACCATTTCAAAAAGTGTGAGAACACCCACCCAGGATCACCAACAAATCAGAAAGAGGATGGCAACTGGCAGAAGTTGCCTGCAAACACTGTGAAACGATCACGTCCAAAACCAATAACGAACAGAAAGGAGACGAAAACTAAGGAGCCAGGACCCAAGCAGAATCAAAAGAGAGAGTGAAGACGGCCTGCTGACATGCGAGGTGGAAGGCAAAAAACAGACACCGCCTCCAGAAGGATCAGTACAAACAGTTTCAGCAATGCAGCCGATGCCCTAACTGCTGAGGCCAGTGCCCCAGACGACGGCCCGGCTCTCAATGCTTCCACATCCTGCACAAGCCAGTCTGAGGACAACTCGAGAAGGGAAACAAAGTGCAAGACCAAGGCTAAATGCCCACGAGCGTGAAGATCATTCGCAACCAAGACTGCGGAAAGGGAGGGGACCTGTGCATGGAACTGGAGCAAGCCAACCTCCCGAGGAAGCACAGGGGCATAAAGGAATGCATTGAGGTGCTCAAAAGTGCCTCCCAAGTAAACCTCAAACACAGTAGTAGTCTCCCGCCAATCCAGCGTGAGGTACGACAAAACCCGTGCCACGCCCGACAGCTGAGAGAGGGGGGCCTGACAGCTGGTAACAAAAAACAAGCGTTGAATGTAATGAAATGCCATTTTCTGGGTGAGACCTGAAGGCTCCCCGGAGCTATCTAGGCTGATAGGTATATCATTAGACTTTGGCATCAGTCAGTGTGAATGGAGTTCTAGGCCTACCGAGGACCATGAGCCAGAACCTGGCCCCCTCAGGGAGGCACGAGGAGCAATGGTCTATAGAAATGCACATGATATTTTGGAGCATTCTATGTCTGCCATCGACCGGGCCAGGCACCCAGAAAGGTAAGCGCTTCAAAACAAACCCCTATTCTGGTTAAAACGATTAAAATAGATAAACGAGTGGACAGAACTCCCCAAATGAAAACGAGCAAACGGGCATGACGTCACACAAGCCACGCAGCATGTCTGTGCAGCTCCGCCCCCCTCCCCCCCAGGAGGGGGATGGGAGAGCCTCAGACCCCCCACGCCGGTGATCGACACCTCAGTTCCGTGGCTGGATATCAAAATTCGCGAAAACGACCGACTGGAGGGAGGGAGGGTTGCCAGGGAGCCTCCGGGACTCACCCAGAAAATGGCATTTCATTACATTCAATGCTGGTTTTCTGGGGGGAGCCCCTACGGCTCACCGGAGCTACTTCACCAAAGACCAAGGAAAGGAGGGGACTTACCCGGGAGGTGGTCGGTGCTCCACACCTCAACTCGAAATCGAGACAGGCTGCAACCACTGACGCAAAGCGACACAGGCCCGACTAGGCCACAGGAACGTTAACGAGGTAGCATGCAGCCAGAACCCTGTTCGACTGCCAAAACCCCCCTGCCTGAATGTCAGCCTAGGACATGTTCCCAAAGACAGCAGCAAGAGCAGCGAACTTACGAACGTCATGGGCACAGGGGATAGACCACAGGCTGGCTAGACTTAATAACCCTAAGGACGACCTGAGAGACCCGTACCAGCGAACAGGAAAGAAGGGAAACCGGATCACCCTAAAGCACGTCCCCCGACAAAGAAGCCATGGCACACAAATAACGGCGGAGGGTCGCAACTGGACACAACACATGATGCACCCCCGGCCTGACCAACCAAGCATCAACAGCGCAAGGACCCGTCCGGAAAGCAGCAGTCTCATTCTTCGCCAGAAAAGGAGACGGCTGCAGATGAACAAACCTATCTCCAAGACCGAACGAGCAGAAACCCCTGTGCTGGAGGAGAGCATGAAGCTCCCCGACTCAACCCCCAGAGGCCAATGCCAACAGGAAAAAAGAGCCTTTGAAAAACAATCCTGAATCAAAGGGGCCACAACAAACCGAGGAGAAAATAGGAGAGCACTCTGTACAAAGACCAGGACGGTTCAGGTGGCACATGAGCAGTCCGGAGGTAAAACAATACATGAGACAGCTTGCAAAACAGCGCACAAGAAACATCTATACCGATAGCAAGCTGAAGCACGAGACGAGGCGACAGTATCCAG